GCCACCTGTAAAAGCAGAAAGATCATCCTGGTGCAGGAATACCTTGCACAATTTTTCAGGTGGCAAACTGTCTTAGTGAGGACAGGAATTCCCGTCAGTCATCTTGCTACTGCACAGTTATTCTTCCTGCAGGCATTACCTATGCTTCAGACAAAGTCCAGGATATCTTGAAAGTCCTGCAGGATATGGATCCTTCAAGATACTGACCACAAGCTTTTAGAGATACCATTTTCAGGAAGTTTTCCTATTCCTCCCCTAATCCACTTACGAGTATTTCATCCTAGCTCTCTCTCCTGAGAGCATCCTGGAAGTTTCCACATTCTTGTCATATCCCACCCTCACATTCCCCTCCCACATCTTTAACAAACAGAATAGAAAATATGAAAGCAGTCTCTGGTTACAGGGCTATCACGTGAACTGTTCCTCTCCCTCCCTTTGCACAACTTCATTGTTTTTCTCTGGATTGCCTTCACATATTATATGTTTATCCTACTCTTCAGGTAAAATTAAATTACTTACCTACAGTCTGATAAGGTGCATAATGTCCATATTATCCTCTTTATCCCAAGTTTGTTGGCAACAACCTTCCGTCATCATTTAAGAATCCTATCCTGATAGCTTGAGCTTAAATTTGAGATGCCTTCAAATGCACCAATCTGTATCTCAAACAACTCCCCCTTTAAGTGCAACCAGCATGGTCAGGCTTCTTCTGTCAAGCTTGTCACTACTTATAGCCAAACTGTTTAAATGCTTAGGGAAAACAAATGCAACACTGTCAGTGGCAATTAGCCAAAAGAAGAAAACCCAGAAAGTCTCCAAGTGTTCTAGACACAACGCAGCTAAGGATTAGATAGGGCTAGCAGAGCATCTGAAAAAGGCCTTAAAACTGACCTATCCTAGAGAAGCCTTTTTACTTTACAGAAAGTCCTCAGAAATAATACCTTGAAGTGGCACCTCAGAAATTTCTTATAAAATGGCATTATTATATTAATCTGCTTCCTGTAGAGTATGTATAGCACTACAAACCATTTTAAGTCATTTGAATTAAGATTTTTTTTTTTTCTAATTTTCTCCATCTATGTAATATTAAAAATAAACCCAGTCCATACAAGTAGTAATACTATGTTAAAAGTAATACATGCTGGAGGAGTAGAGACATTGTATCTCATCCTCTGAACAAACAGCAGCTAAATTATGGGAAAACACCCAAAAGTTTTCTAGGTATCTCAATTGTTCCATAGCATACATCCACAGTAAGACATCACACTATACATTAATAAAATGCTGACTTTAGAGTACGTCAGCATCTGGCACAGACTGAACAAGTATCAAGGTCAAGCTCTGAACGAGAAATTACTAAGGCCAAGGTTTTCAAACTCTAGTTTTCAAAGGTAACGAAACATTAAATATTGAAATTGCAAAAAGGTTAGCTGCAAAGACACTTAACACATTTCAAGTGTCAGGGGCAAAAAATTAAGTGACAAGATTAAAAGGGTTACTCCCATAGACTGATAAGCAGGCTTTACTGATAACACTCAGTGTGTTCAGTTGCTCACATTTCTGTAAACAGCTACCTAAGCAAAACAATGCCATGTTTTTTCCTCCAAGCAGTTTTTCTCTCCATACCAAAGTCCTGAGACTGTCTAGAATACAGAACGCAATCTGTCCTTTGTGGCCAAAACCAAAGTCCTCAGCCTATTCTATAGAAAGATTACTTACTTTCTTACTCTTCCACATCCAAAAGCTTTGCTCTGAGAAAAGGAAAAGCCTGTCAGCTCCTATGTTCAGAAAATTCAAAGGTTAATATACAGCCATATGTTCTCTTAGATAGTCATGCTTCCCATCAGTATTATTCCGTATTACACCTGAAACATCAACTAAGTCAGTCACTTCCCTTGGCCTTTTAGGTAGTTACTTTTAAATTGTTTACTGAACAAGTAACCTGCATGGTCAAGTGAACGCTTATCCTGCGGCAGGCCCGACATTTACTGTAGCAGGCTGATGCACTTAACAGTTCCATTAAATGAGAATATGTAATAAGAAAACAAAAAAAAAAAAAAAAAAAAAAGTCAGGAGCAGCTCATCCAGCTCTTTACTTTTGTCAATAAAGCTGTGAGATGACAGAACAGTCCAATTTAGTCGCAGGTAATTTTTTTAAATTAGTTAGATCCTGAAGTCAAGTTCAAAGCAATCTAATGAAGCTGCAAAGTAACTTGCTTGCCAGACTTGTAGTTCCTAGGTAATTACTATCTTCAGCAAGCTGGAAAACAAGGCTGTTAAAACTCAGAAGTGACTGAGTGAACTTTATTGCACAATAACACTCCATATGACATTATCCACATAAATTTTAACATTTAAAAGCGAGACTAGAACTCAGGAGGAACACTTCATTTCCACCTGTTGCATTTACACTCCTTTCTCCATTTTTCTCTTTAGGCCAAAAAATAGCACAGTTTCCTTCTAAAATAAACCCTAAACCTTATGTTGTATGAAGAACAGTAAGAGATACAAGGTACATCTGCTAACAGCTGAAGTGCAAAAACTGGGAAAACCCTCATTCTCTAGACTAGCAGGTTGCGGATTTATGGTGTTTCTTTTGTCTTCACTAAATCCCTAAATCCCTCTCTGCTCTGTCTGGATAATTAAACTTAACATGACACAGCAAGTTAAGGATTCTAGGAGAATTTCTTTCAGGTCTTCAGACAAGGACAAGGGTTATGCTTGCTTGAAAATTTTATTGACACAACTGTTTGGTCCCAACACACAAAACAGCACTTGAGCCACAAAAGAAAGTGTCCAAACAAAGTAGACAGCTAAGAAAAGATTTTTTTCTTCTCCCTCCCATTCCAAGAAAAAGATAGTGCATAAATTGAGGGCTTCAGTGACATTTTTTTTTTAAACAGACATGAATCTGAAATAGTACATTTAATTGTTAAATTAAAGAATTTCATGGTTGTAATGCTTTTAAATCTGTAAGTCACATCATTCATTTAACCCTTTGGATAAAAAAATATATTGCAGTTCAGTTAGCCATTTTGTTACACTATGAACACAACTTCTCAAAAGTATTATTCTATTACTTTCAAACAGCGATTTCATCAGAATCACACATGAATCCAGAAAAGATATGCCGACCTCCATAAATATGGTATAACCACCACACTCACTTTGACAAATACCATATTTTCCTCTGAAGCAAAAAACTGGTTGTCTTTAGTACTCCAGATAACTTGTAGCTGCATCTCATAAAAATATTATTTCAGGCTGGCCTTTTCTCCAATGCATGCTTTTCTGAAACAAAGATCTAGACTGATCAGTGTCAACCTTATCAAGCTTAAGGTGAAAGCAGATGTTCTGACATTTAACTCATTAAAAGCATTCCAAGAAAGCTTACTTTTAAATTTCTCTTTCTATAGCAGTATGTCTGTAGAGGCTTACTAAGGACTCAAAATACTGTGCCATAATGCTCAGAAAAACTTCCAAGTGTTTCTCTGCATTCACAATGGCTATAAGTTCACTACTGGTAATACTTGCCTAAATTTAAAAGATTTTATAACAAAATCTGACTCGTAAAATTCTGAATATAGCCATTATTCAGTGGCATTTCCTGTTGCTGGCTGAGAAGTTAGAGCCCGTGTTCCATATCTTGTATATTACAATAGAATCCACCTAAAAAAAAAATACTCAGTTGGCCAGTGGAAAACCTCTAGTATAGGTTCTTTCAATACTACAAGCAATTTATTTGCTGCCTGGCAAATACAACCCATTGTAAATGCCATGGTTACCCAGAATGGGTATAAAGTCTTATACACTGGACACTTCTGCTAACTAGAATTAAGGTTATCCACTGACTTAGCCTCTCTTCCAAAGCTGGCCCTTTCAAAAGCCAACACAAGATACCACAAATTCAAAAAAAAGCTTCCAACACTAGGAGTAAGTTTTAGAATAAAAACAGACACAGCTAAAAGACAGCACCATCAAAGAATAAGCTTCCCATTTACTGAACATGCTTAAAAAAAAGAAAACAAGGTTAAGCAGAACAACCTTAGCATTTCCACATGTAGCTAGAACTTTCCTTACAGGTGGAAATAGCATCGATACCTTCCATCACAAAACATTTTAGTAAGACCTGCTACGTTATCTGCAATTTATGCATTAAATGCATATTTCAGAAATACCAGAATCTTCCTAACTTCATTCCTAGACACAATAAAATATCTGTGTCTGTATCTTAAACTCATGACAGCAAGACAGTCTTTTCCTTAACCAAATCCATGCCAGACTGGAACTAAATATAAAAGGGAAGCTTAAAGCATCCATGTCCTAGAAAGCTCCTAAATGGAACTGAAAGCTACAGAAAACATTTAAAACAAGTCTTACAAAAAAATCCACATAATCTTCTACAGACATCTTTAGACGAAAGAATTTCCAATGCAGTTACAAGTCATCTGAAAGGTCAGAGAACAAGTTTCTCCTCTGGAGTACAATCAACTCCCTCACTCTTGTCATTTCATGTCAACGAGTTAAAATTTCTCAACAGGCTTTTGAAAGACAGATCATGCATTTTATTAATACTGTCTGAAACAATACCAGTAAGCAACAGCCTATAGAATACAATATGCTACATGTATGATTACACCACCAACGAGGCTTAAACAAAATAAAATCTGTTCCATTTCAGTTGAATTGATATTTTGCTTTTACTGAACACACATTTATGAAAAACTGTAAAATTTAATAATTTAACGAATGCCAGAATTTTTTTTCAAAATAATAGAAAAAATCTGTTCTGCTAACAGCTGTGTTCAGTGTAAAAGGAACAAAATCTTCACAGAATACATTAAATACAAATTAATTCTTCTAGGCCTTCCATTAAAATACATAAGGGCTAGCAAATAGCTTTTCTTTGTGCAGAGTCCATAGGTATTTGTCTTTCACACTAAAAAAGAAAGTTAAAGCTTGGTTACAGGTGCAAGTGAAAAGTTTGCTGCCAATTTCACCTTGTTTTTGTGTTGCTTTTTGGCTGGACTGTCCATTGCTTCCTTGTTTAGTTGGGTTTCAGAGGACTGACAGGGAGGCACCGAAGCACTCTCCATGGTGTTAGATACCACTGAACTAGAGGTCAACTTTTCTTGAGCTGTGCCAACAATTCTTTGTTTTTCTTCTTCTGTTAAAATCATTATCTCTAAAATAAATAAGACAACTCAATTTATTGATGCTCTGTTCTTGAAAAACAAAGAATATTTCTCTGGTATATAGCCAATAAAATATTTAAAGAGAACTTGTCAGCCTGATTTGAAGCCAGATGATGTGTCATGTTCACCTCTGCAGCTGATGTGATGTTTGCTTTCGGCCCTGTCTGCCTCATGTACTATTTGGAAGGTTTAATTTAACTCTCACACATTAAGTCTCTCAGTGCTCAGAAAAGCACTCTGAAATTACTGTGATGAAAAGGTTGCTACAAGTTAGCAAAATGCAGTTTTAGTGGTAGACAAGGTCCCTATAAAATTCACCCCAGAAAATCACAGTAGGGTACTTATGGTCAGTACTCAAGAGCTTCTGATGAAAGCCACCTGCATGTCCAACACATCCCATTGTGTGATATATATACACATATTATTTAAATGGCACTTTATATAATCAACCGTTTGTTTTGATGCTTTAGTTTCCAAATTGTATGAGTTATCATCCATAAGTACTACAACATAGGCAAGCAAACTCTTACCAGAGAGAGGTGCAGGGCGTTCCTCAAACTGAATGAGGTCTGCAGACTCGAGAACCACTGGATCAGGTCTCAGTTGTGGCGATGGTAGGCACGAAGGAACTGGCTCACACAAGAGGTCAATGGGAGATGTATTTGTGAGGCAAAGAAGTTCTTGCTCAGTTTGATTAGAAACTACAAAAATAAGGGAATATCTTTCAAGGTATCTGTAAGCTGTGAAGGTTTCACCATTTCTGAGCTGGTAAAGTCTTCAGATGCAATTCCGAGGATTTGAGAGCTATGCCATGTTTGAAATACTAATATCAAACTAATTTAATTAATGCTAACCTCATTCATTCAAGGAGTTACGTTGCTGGAGCAATCTAACTAACTAAAATACAGCAGACAAAGCAATAGTATGTTAAAATTATTGTTTGTCTGAGTAAATATACCCCTATAGTGACATTTGGTATTTGCCAAACTTGAGTAATAGAAGAGCTGAAGAAACAAGTCCTACAGGAACAGTCTTTAACAGAGACGGGCCAGTTGCCAGTTACCAGACAATCAGACATACCAATCTCCTATGAACTATTTATGTACCATGTACCATATTCACATTTATATGTGAAAGTTAAGCTGAAAGCTTCAAAATAAAGTTACTTGTCCTTATTAAAAGGGACAAGCCTAGACTTCTGAAATAACTCAAGAACCATTCCACAAGTTCTCCAACCTGCAGGTAGTAAAAGAATTGGAGACCACAGCAAGATATGAACTATGAGGTCACCATTTCCCAGTTATTTTTATTTGGATATGGATTTATACCAACAGAACTACCATTATTATTTGCAAGTAACAACACAAAATCAACATAAAACACCACAAAAGAGCACTATATTCTGATGAGAATACAGGAGGTATTCCTAGCAGAAGCTGCTACTGACCATCTTTTCTAGCTTTATACTTATAGACTTAAATCTCCACTAAAATCCGTGGGAATACTCCAGCAGCTCTGTTGAGGACAACAGATGTCCTGAAGTACATAGTTAGGCACGTGTCCTCTTAACAAGGGCAAGTTCAACAGCTTTCAAAGTCATAAAGCATTTCTACAGAAATTCAGATTGACTAACTCACACAGCTTTCCCCATGCTGCTTTGATTACTCTGCTTATTTCCCTTAAGATAATAAATTTCTTATACAAATTAATTTCGCATTACCATTGCTAGGTGTTCCTAGACTTAGTTCCATTGATGAAGTGGATCCTGGGGTCTCCATACTATGTCCATTATTGTCAGCAAGTTGATTTCCATGATCATCCACATGATCAGCAGGGGGAAAACTAGGTGAGCTAAAACGAGCTACAAAAAGGCAAGTTTGTTTGGTTCGTTTACTCAAGTCACCTCTTAAAAAAAGGAAACTAAAATACTGCTCAAAATTGAAATGGCTTACTTTTCATATCATTCTTTAGTACCACAATTCTCTTGTGACCATGTCCTTTAATCCAGACCACCTATAGAGGAAAAAAAAAATGCAGAATTTAACATCAGCACACACTAAGCTCAAAGCCTAGAACAGCTTACTCACTGCCTTTCACATAGCCTTACAGTAACATTATTTCTAAAAGTAAACTATGTTGCTAATTATACCCAAATAAAAGCTTTGTCTCAAAATAATTGATGCCAAAGGCAAACTTTAGGGCTAGTAAGCATACTAGCTATATATTAAAAAAACCTGTTGTATATTTAAACATGGAGTTGCAAAGTTCCATTTTGTCACTCTCCAGAAAGATTAGTTTACTTAAAAGAAAGCTTATAGCCATAAATCAGGTCACAAAATTATCCTAGAGCACTTAGGACATGTGGATGACAAGAAGATGCCACAGCAAAATTCCACTATGTGGCACTTCTGACAAGGTCCCACAGCTCTTCACTTCTAAAGATCAAAATGAAGCCTCAGTACCATACAGTTGTTCAAGACAAAAAAAAAAATCAATTATCTCACTTGATAAAGATGCAGAGGATGTTTGCAGCCTCACCAGGAACAATTCTTAAGCAAAATTTGACCAAAACATGTAAAAAAATTCTTATTATTATACAGTCCAAGTTTCTCAGAAGCTATTAAAAAAAGAACTAGTATAAACCTCCTTGGAGAAGGTAATTACTCCAGTAATTCACACCAATTAACAGAAACTACAGTTGTGTAACTTCTTAATCCATGGAGAAAACTCAATGTAATTGTGCAAAATAGAATTCTTCACACCTGTGGAATTGCTCCCAAGAGCTCTTCTAAATTATTGCATCCATATGCTTTAGGTTGCAGCATTTCTCCTGTGTATTTGCTATATGCTACTGGGAACTCATGAAGAAAAATCTGCTGATAATGGTAAGTATGAAGTAAGGACCTTACATTCTTTGCAAACATATACAGATTTGTAAGCTTCACATATTCTTCTGCTGCACCATTGGTAAAAACCTATTAGAAAAAGAAAAGAAGAAGAATTGAAGTATGTACTTCTGTATCCTCTAGTCACAATGTCTTTTCAAACTATGAAACACACCAGAAAGGAAAGAGAGCTTATATACCTCAACCAAGTAGGGCAGACTCTTCAGGAGTTCAGTTAAGGTCATAAATCCATATTCACACGGATTAAGCGAAGTACTATGGACTGTTTCATAATGCTGTTTAAGCTGTTCAACGGAGAGAAAGGATGTTCCATCCCAGGACATCAACAAGACTAGGAGCTGGGCTGTCAGAGTGCGCAGAGATTTTCTATTTATCAGCTGAATTTGCTTGCCAGACTCCGTGTCAACAATCTAGAAAAATGAATTGAGAACAAAGTCAGGGACAGGGAAGAGATTAATTTATAAATAAGCGTGTAGCTGGGGTTTGTATGAGCACAGCTGTATCTGATATTACATACCTGCATCTGATATTCCCCTAGCGAAAGTCACACAGGCTAAAGAAGCTTATTACATGGAAAAAAATTACTTTATATATAAAGAGCCATGTAGCAGTTTTCTGTCCACATGGTAGACATGATTTTACTCTTTGTTCCAAGCCAACTGGGCCTAACTGAGCTCCAGCCTGAACACCAGCTGCTGAATTAACAGAACAGGAGCAACTAAAACAGTATGCCCATTTAGATGTAACGTTTCTTTTCCACTGACATGTAAGAACATTTATGTATTTACATTCAGAGTCAAAGCCTCAAACCACAGATCAAAAAAAATTAGGATCATAAAACATTAGGAGACTGATAACTACTACAGTTACCAGGAAATGATTGCTTTTACACAGAAGTCATGTGGGAAACAAAATTTATATTACTAAAATAAGTACTCTAATAGAATCTTTTACTCATTATTTGCTAAACAAGCCTAAGTTTTCCCAGAGAAAGTTGAAAGGTAAAAAAAGAACAAAGAGAACATCATTACATTTAAACTCCCTTTGGAATTTCCCCCCTCCCCTACTTAATGAAATATTGTTTCTAGAGTACAATATTAAGCACACTGAGACCTGTAATTTGAGATAGGAAATTCCTTAGCACAACATTACATATCTTTTAGAGGGATAAGCTACAAAGATAAAAAGAATACCTTGACAACATGGCAAAGTTTTTGCATTAAAGCTGGAACCGAGCTAACATCATAGTCATGAAGACGCAGCGTGTATCCAAATGTTTTACTGTACTCCGTCAGTAAATCAGACATCATAAGGCAGTTGTCTTTCTGAGACCGCAACAGTTTAACAAACTGGGCAGCAACTGCTTTGACTTGTTCCACCTCTGTAAGTGTGAGAATTTTCTCCTCCCCACATTCCAAAACCTACAAAACAGAAGTCATGCTTTGTTAAATTTATTTACCTAGTCTGGATGAAAAAAGTGTAATCTGCAACTAAAACGCGAAGTTTGCAGGCAATCACTTGCTATGTAGCAGGGCTCAGTTACCTCAAAATGTATCTATCTATATAGCAAGCAGAACTATAGTTTCTGAAATACAAGATAGGCAATTAAATAGTTAGCAATCTTTTTTAAAGCAAGTTTAACACAACTTTAATGAAACTTAGCTCTAATTTTAATGCACATTCAGTGCATTACATTTGTAAATGTAATTCAATTTAGAAAATGTGAATTTGTTACCACACTTAGCCTGAGTGTGCTAAGACCTTGAACCATTTTACCAATAGCTATATCAAAGACTTTAAGAACAGCTGTCTACCATTACAGGCGCACAGTTTATAACTCTCACTAAAGTTAACGAGAAATATAACCCCTGCTGAAACAGTTGTACAGATCTCAAAAATGCTTTAGTACAGTTTGAATTTTAGAACTTACAAGTAAGACATCTGGTATGGCTTCAAAGAGTTCAAGTAGTTTTGTAAAACCATAGTAAGCAAGTTTGCACTGACGACCAAAGTGGTGATGATAAGAAGGAATAAATTTATTGAAGGGCATTCGAAAGTGGGGTTGATGGCGCAGTAAGTCTACTACCTCTTTAGAAAATTGTTTGGTTCTTTCAATTTCTTCTTGTGTACGTTCTAAAATTAAAAAACAAAGCAAGAGCTATGTACCAACACACTTATAAAACACAACAGAATATATTAAGAAAATATGGTGATTGATTTTCAGCTTAATCACGTATCACACCAAGTGACTAGTCCCTTCTACCACTGAAGACCTTTACTAAGCTTACATGTTTAAAGTCCAAAAATAACTGTATGATCAGAACTTTAGAAGATATTAAATAGCCAAATATGTTGGTATTTTTGCTGTGCAGAAACAACCCACTTAAATCATTCCACAGAAAGTTTAACCACATGCAGAGGTACTAACATTATTTTATGTGTTTTGCCACCTGCTTTCCTATCTGTTCCACTGTTAGTATTCCTAGAATGACAATTCTTTATTTGCTAGAAGTTCGTAACTTAGTTACGAAGGTAGAAACACTATTATCAAAAAAATCCAAGTCACTCCTATATACTTTATTAGAATAGTCAAAAAACAATTTCTTCTGCAATAGTAAAAAGTGTACATGACATACCTCTTTTGGGAATACAAATTACCATTTCATTGTCTTGCTGTGACAAACAGATAGTTGTATCTGGAATTTCTGATATAATATCAACCAGTTCACACACTCCATACTCAGTGACATCCCAGTCCTTAGAGAAACACCTGAAAGTTTTAGAAAATTGTGTAATACAAGCATTAAGGCACGCCGTCTTGGCTAAAAATACATAAGTTGAGAGAATAAGCCTCAAATCCTAAAAAAGATAAGTGTAATTTTCATATTGGCAATAATACTAGCATGTGAAACAAAGGGGAAAGTATTCTTAATTCAAATTATCTATCCATTCTAACCAGAAAAGTAAGATACACTGATGGTTCACATGACACTGGAAGGAAGAGCTGTATATACCAACCAGTAGATGCCTCAAACTATGGTAAGTGACAATATCAAGTATTATTTTTCCAAGCTCAGTTTAAGTCATATAAGAAAATGTTATCATGTTATACAGCTCCATATGGCTACAATTTCAACAGTGTGTATTGCTTAATAGTTACGGATATATGCTCTTCTTAAACGCTATTAGGTCTCAAGAGAAGGCAGAGACCACATCATGGAAAACACCGTATTAAGATTCACAATATATGTAATATATTAAAAAGTATTTTACTCTCCTCGCCTCCCTGACAGGAATCTCTCAGAAGCAGGAACACTTCACATATATTCTTATTCAACAAATGGCCAGAGCTAACTACAATGGAAATGCACATTTAGTAGTTTTAGAAACAACCAATAATGTATTTTTGCCAATAGCAGAAATACAAGTAGAAGCACGCATTCCCAAAAAGGAGCTGTTGGCACATGCAGCAGAACAGCACACAAGCAAAGGCAGACCACATTTAGCACTTAGATGCTATGGTTTCCTCAAAGCACATTATGTACTACTTTCTATCTTCACATTAAGGAAAGCATCATTCTTGGTTCTTCAAAAAAAAAAAAAAAAAAAAAAAAACCACCAAAAAAACCCCCCACCCTACTTCTTACCATGCTAGAACAGAATGATCTTCCTGGCAATAGCAAGACAGGTATTACTCCTCATTTTTGTGCCATTGTTAGATCCACTTAAAGTAGTAAGAGTATCTATTGACAATCAGTCTATTTATTTTAGATTTCCCTCTAAAGAAAGCCTAGCACTAAATTTTCTCTTTGTTGTTTGTGTTAATGTGCCATGACCTGCTTGCTTAAAGTCAACCTTGCAGTTATGGCTTCAAAGAGAACTAATGAAATAAAATAATCCATTTCAAACTCCAATAAAGTTAAATGAGCCCAGTACTAAAGGAAGTAGTAAAGTCTGCCAGAGAGGTTTTAATTTCTGTTTTTATTAGAAGTTTGAACTTCCACTTCACAAGTAAGAGGCAATATAGTTGCCAGTTTTGTAGTAAGATTTAAAGCGCTGACTTCTATTGCATTAGGTTTTAAAACCACAATTGATAGACACTCCCTGCACAGCTGTTCCTGTTTCATTAAAGATAACTTACCAGTGATAAGCCTGTAAGAATTCCTTCACGATAACTTGCTTACTGGCCTGGGATTTGAGAAGCTTCAGTAAGTCTTGAGTAAAGCGCTTCACTTGAGCTCTATGTGTTAGAGTTAACAAGCGTTTGGAACCCATACCAAGAATCTGAAAGAAAATTTTATTTGATCACTCACATCTGGCATCCTCAGTCAATTATTTTACAAGATGTTTAGAAGCCAGTTCTAGCATACGTAGGCTAGAAATAAAGAATAAAATAGAGACAGTTTTTGGAAAGCCAGCCTCCTGAAGTCATACATTTTCTGATGAAATTAAGAAATGCTTCTTCCATGAGTTTTTTTTTTATTGCAACTGTTGCACATTTGTATTGGCTATTTTAATATTCTGCAACCAACTGGCATTCAAAGTAGTAAGCTATTGTGACCATAGTGTTTCTTTTTTGTAAAATAAGGCCACATGACTTCTTTCACACAGAAATCCTTCAAGTCGCAGGCTACACATCACAGCCTAACTTACAAGCACTCAGCGTTTCCTGTGTTCTTATGATAAACTGCACAATTAAAACCTTTTACTCAAGCACTAGCCATAGGCTAAAAGCAGCTTCAAACTTTATCCAGAGGCTCAGATAAAAAAAAAAAAAAAAAAAAAAAAAAAAAAAAGAAGAGTTGATTTCCCCAGAAGTTGTTTTGGAAGGGTGGGTACAATTAGAACAAAGCAGAAACAACAACTCAAAAAAGACAACAAACATATTCCAAGGTTCAGTTAACCATCTCTTTCAAGGTGGACTAGGTAATTGTATAGCATCTGCTATACAATACCAACTGGTAATTCAGATAGTTGAAGACACAAGTACAATTCCCCAAGTTAAAAGGAACAGTGCCATATAACTCACTTGCAGTACATGAGGCACTGCTTCTAGCAGCTCCATTAATTTAGAATACCCGTAGTCAGACACACGGCATTGTTTTGCAAAGTGATGATGGTATGTTGGGATGAATTTACTGACAGGTATGACGCAGGATGGTTGGCTTTTAAGTAGATCTATCACTTCTCTACTGAACTGGATAAGTTGTGGATTACCTACAGGGCTCTTGGAACGCAGAAGCCAAGGATCTGCAAAAAAAAAAAATCAAATCATATTACTGAGCCTTTCACTAATATTCTGCCACTAAACACTGCACTTCATTTATGACACAAGCTAAAGTACAGGAGAAAAAAAAAGAATGAACATTCAAGCTAAAAGTTTCTCTTTAAAAAAAAAGTTTAACAACTTTACAAGATGTTTATGCTGCTCTTATTTTTTTTTGCAGAAAAATTAGTTCAGAAAAAAGATTTTAAATAGAAGTATTTACCTGTAGTAGGAGGTGGTGGTTTGTTATGTATCCATTTAATAACTTTAATTCCATTTTGGGCAGTGGCAATGTTAACTCCGGGAACACAGGTAATTAGGTGTTCTAAAGGAACACCACCCTGGCCTTCTGGCACTATTTCAAGATCATTGAACTCCGACATATAACAATCAGGAAAACTTTGGAAGAAAAAAGCATCCATTATACGCTAAAATACCACTATAATGAGTATCATAAAAATATTATTTTGAGACACTTCCTGAGAAAAAGGCTTTGATATCTCACTAATGACTTAGAAAAGGCTTCATAAAATGCACATTTTAAATAAGTGTGTCTTTTCTCAACCAGAATTCAAGGAGTAGTAATTTCATAAGGCACTCATTTGCTATAGAAGATACCACCTTAGGTAAGCATCAGGGTTTTTATACAACAGGTAGTTTCAGAGCATTACCACAACCATCAATAAAGTTTTAAATCTTTAACCTATCAGCCCTTACGCTAAAAGCCTAAACTAAAATACATTACCTTAGTAAAGGCACAGTACCCTCATGCGTCTGTAGAAGACTGTGGACTTGGGGAGCAAATGTCTTCAGAGACACAATCACAAAAGGAATTCTATAAGAATCTGGATCAAACTCATGCTCACTGTTAAAAACAAGAGGTTGAAGTTTACATGCTCATTCTACACATAGCTTTAGCATAGTATGCCTGTGCTCACATACACACCCATAGTAAACATTATACTATATGCATAGGATATACTGCTACTAGCTGACAATACCACTATGTACAGTCACAAGCAACTTCTATCTTTTCTTCTTCACAAAAATTAATACAATTACAGCAAATTTCCAGAAGACAAGCAACATTCAGAAGAGCACATTTTTATTATCATTAGATTAAAACTTAATTTTAAAGTTTTAGCAGCACATACCATGCAGTTAACAGTGAACACCTAGTAACTGCCCTAGTAGCACAACCTGTCTGCTGTTGAATAAAACAAAAAGTTTAATACATGGCTTCAGGAAATCTTCAACCCAGTAGGAATCACTTACTAAACATAGCTGAAGGACAAAAAAATAATGATCAGTTCGAGCTATAATTAAGTAATCAAATTCAGGCTAATAGAAATCTCTATTTAATGTACAATCTTCTTATACAACCAGAAGAAGGTAGCGTACCTTTCAGCTTCTTTTTAAGAGGTACTCAATCCTGGCAGCTGTCCTAGAATACAGTGCTCTTACCTTAACAGACTGATCCATGAGAACTGCCTAGAAAATTCACTGCGCCATCTCACTATTGTCTGTCTGACTTATTCTTGTAAGCATATAAAGTGACCGGAGCATGCTAAGTGAACATATATACCTCAACTTTAATATACCTGTAAGTATCAAATGCTGTTCAAATATTTTGTAAAATTTTATAGTATTTTATACACAGCTTACATAAAGTCTTTATTCAGGCAATGCTGCTTACAAACAGGCTCGTGATATTCCAACTCTTCAAATATTATAGGACTACAGTTTGCTGATGAACCATCATGTGACTGTGAAGATCCCAATGGACTCTGCCGGGCTTGGCTGCTGGGTAAAAGGCACACCAGCCGCCCACTTCCTTGGTCACGTATTGCTACTGTATCCGTTAGTTTATATAAGTCTGATACAGTTAATTTATGCCCAAATCTAAAAGAAAAAAAATTAGAAATAAATACACATTATAAACACAGTTAGAGAATGCAGTAATCTGTGTTTTTTGTTTAAGAAACAGGAATATGCTAGAAACTATTATATGCAAAATTTTAAGGTAACTAATCTATTCATCCCAATGTAGAAAAATGAAGTATAACCCTCTAAGAAAGGCCAGCATTACAGTCACTGTCTCTGGATAGATAATATGCTGCAACATCCAACAACAAAAAACCCATGAGACTCCATTCTGTTACACTCTATAATTCACTATAAGCAATTGCATCAGATTCTTTTCAGAAGTACTAGAGAAAAAAGAACTGAGAACTCACTTTTTTTCATAGATTTCTATAAATTTGAACACAGGCAGACAACAAGCAGGTGCATCCTGCAGAATGGACATCGTTTCTGAGCTATAAAAGAAGTTTTGTAACATTAGCACAAAATTAATCTGTTGTTCTTAGTCTCCAGCCCAAATTGGTGATATATTTACGGATGCAGTTTATAAACTATAAATGTAACAGGACAAACTGCATTCCCTTCTGACCTAGCACTACAGAAGCTGACACTTCAGATCAGGGGAGTGCAACGAGTAACATTTCTGCTAACTCATTAGGTAATATCTCTGAAGGAGTTGCAACTTTCACAGGTGGTGGTAAGATTTCAAGCATCTATAAAATACAACATTAAAGCTGCAGGCATTAGGAGTTACCAGCCTGGTAATTACATTAAGAACTTTGAACAAACAAACTAAAAGGCAAGAATGAAATAAAGCTGTAAGTTACACAGTGGCAAGTAGCATATAATTGTAGAATACTCTACACTCCAAGCACTATTTTCACTGGAGCTTTCTGTGAGATCACAAAGACAACTTTTTCCCCCCTAATGCTTTCTTTCAGCGAGGAAAAAATTGAAGCAGAAAATACTTGTATTCTCACTAGCATCAGCACTCTGGTTCTATCATCTTCCATACAGAAAAGAGATCAAAGAAACACCAATGGCATTTAGACTACATATCCCATCCTTAAAGAGAAAATTCATGTGTACCTTCTTGGACGGAAGAAGAAATAAAGATACCAAGTATAACCTTAACTCAGCTGCACAAACTAAGCTGAGGTGTAGCAGCATTAAGGAAGAGTAGCAGTGAAACTATTAAACACTACTAAGCAGTTCTAGTCTCCTCAGATGCAACTTAAAATACAACTAGTGTAAAAACACTAAACTGAAAACTACTCTAATTATATTTAACACACTAATCAGGTCATAAGACAGATTTTACTTTATTTCCCTATCATTCCTTTACTCGGTATTTTAAATCATCTCTCAGCTACTAAATACATGCTAGAATGATTAAGAAGATGCCAAAGTGCTTATTACCTAAGTAGAGAGAGTGATTTACTAGCAGCTCCCGTTGCTAACGAGACCTGGATCCTTTTACTGCCAATTTTGTATCTGTGAAGACCGTTGACAGCACTGATTGCTTCTTGCAAATTTTCCATCTGAACTGTTGCCTTCAACTGGTAGTCTGTATGAGGACTGAGCTCTACAGTTTTTACCTGAAAGGAAGAAAACACCTTATACATTTATCACAAAATATTAACCAAGGCATGCCAACACAAGAGTAGCACAGCCTTGCTTTGGCCAAGAGCCAAATACAATGCAAACAGGAACAGAGCATGATGAACTATAGCCAACAGGACAATACAAACAAGAACTGAGCACAACAAGCCTTGGCCAAGGCAAGACCATGATATTCCTTTAACATAAGTATCATCTTCCCATGTAGATTATGCCAGAAGAATGCCACCTACAGCTCAGACAAATAGGACCACTGCAGAAGTGACCTCTCCTTGAATACTTTTTTTACTGATTCACACTCTCCAATGTCTGGTTTTGATCACTTCCCATTCAAAACAGAAATTCCGTTTTTACTGTGATTTTTAAGCTGACATTAAGGAATTCAGCTTTACAACATAAAAAGGTTATGCAGCTAAATCCTCTTCCCTACATGACTAATAAGCCACTTACTAAGAATTTTATATACAGAACTTCAAAATACCAGATCTATGAAGACCACGTGCAAATTAAGACTAGCGCAAGTGATGGTCTGGTCTTTTTAAAGGAAAAACACAATACCTCCTTTTAACAAAGTTTAAGAGTCACGTTCGGATAGCTTTCCATTCCTACTCACTTAAAACTAGACCACAAACATGTCCATGAACGGAAGTCTTTAAAAAACAGATTTAATAAAGGTATTTTAGCCTTTACCTTGCCATGTCTTGAGAAAATTTCTTGTAAATTTTGCTGCAACTCTTTTCTGGACAATCTGTAATCTATATTGCTGATCTGAATGTCTGCACCATTTGCAAAAGGATCAGGGCAGTCTGTACCACTGGTATGATTTACTACATTAAACATCAGTGGAGATGATCTATTTGAGAGGTTTGGAGACATACTCCTAGGTAAAATAAAAACATTTATGAGCTGAAGTAGCTATTGCACAATTCTGATATATACATCTCAAAATAAATCAGAAAATATACACAGGTCAAGTGCACGAATACAGCACTTTGAAGATATTTTACTAGCACATATGTGTGCAGGCAAAACAAATTTCACCACAAGCAAATGATCATAACAAGACAAATTTTTCCTATGAGAAGAAAATAACTCATTACGTTTCAGTCACCCAATTTAATAATATATTTGACGTGACGTCTTCTAGTATCTTACAAACACATTAAAAAAGTCAAACTCATTGATACGATTTTAATAATTGATAAAGGCCAAATATTTAAGTCTACAGGAATTTTACAGGCCTGCATAAATGTCTACTAGGAATGTCAAAGGCTCTGAAATTCAGAGGAGTAAGATGTCTGTAATACCTCTGAGGATTTTTCAGAAGCTTTAAAGACAAAGTTTACAGGAAACAATTGCCACACAGTAACTTTCTGAAGAAGAGTTCACTTCATCTTATATTTACATCCACCAAGTTATGCAGCACCATCACAGTTTCTTTTGCCTCCACACAAATCAGTGTATTAATGTGCTTAGCACACACAACTCCATATGGAGCTGGCAATAATCAATGTAGTCAGTAATCAATTGTAAAACAATCAAGTAAGACACAGACACTTACCGAGATGACCAGCAACTCTGAGACATAAGTAAAGGACTGAGTTGTCTTGAGGCTGTCAGCTTACTGAAAGCAGAGGGATAGCTGACTTGAAATACGGTTTCATCTTTATCTTTTTTATCTACAGGGGAGTTGGTAATGCTCCTGGAAGCAGTGGTCTCTTTTCTATTTACAAATACATGTCAGAAAAAGGGAAAAAAAAAAAAAAAAAAATCACATTATGTTGCAGAATTCACATTAAAAAATGTAGCTAACATTGATGTCTTTATTTTTAAACATACTTCTGACTACTTTTACAGGATGATTCTCCTGTTCCAATTTTTTTGGTTGCCAGAGGTACAGGAATCGTTGCATTAGAGTTACTCTGAGGAGAAGGAATTTGTTCTCTTAAATGTTCTTGCTGGTTTTCAACATTCCTACTGATAGTCTTTGATTCAAGGCGGCACAGCTCCTATATGAAACAGATGAAAAGTCAGTATAAAAGCACCAGACATCCCTTGCCAGAGTCTTTCCTTGGAAAACCTAGAGGGATGGAAACCTAGGTTACTGAAACTTTCTTTAATAGCATTTTCACTGGCACTTCGTAACAGGAATATTTGATTTTCTGTGACAGAGAATAGTAAACTGTCAATTACTTGAAATATTTTTGCTACACTGTAGATCCATCCTAGTTTTCCTTAAAACTAGGAAAGTGGATGACTCTAAATGCTATAACTCAATATCAATAGAAAAGTCAGAACTGGCCTAGGATTCAAGACTCACTAAGTACCAGCAGTATTTCCAAATTGAGAAAGAGGTGTAAGGAAGGGAGAAAAACAACCCTCAAATTCATTGCCTGCTTTCCAAGCAGCTGAATATAGCTTTTATTTGGGAAAGTCACTATACATTACAGTTCATTAAATAAGACTGAAAAGTTACAGCTGTAACAGAAGCAATCCTCAGAACATGAGGAAAAGCAGTAATACTAAACAAGGTAGAACAACAATACCTGTAAACTTTTAACATTTGCGGGTTTCATGATAGATCCATGAATCTGGAATCCCTTCCCAGCAGAGCCTTTGGTACCAGAAGACTGATCACTTGAGTCTTTGTTGAGGAGGCACAGCTTTGTGTTCTTGTTAATTTTTTTGGGAGACTTCACCTTTTCAGTTCCCACAAAACTGGAGCTTTTTGTTTCATTAAGTTCTTTGTTTTTGGGAGTAAAAGACACTACAATCCTGTTACCGAAAACATCTTCATTTTCCATTCGCTTCCGAGCCCGTTCAGCACTTTCTTGATTTAAAAAACGGAGAATTGCACTGCTTCCAGAAATGCTCAACACCTTTCCTCCACAGTTGTCTGACAAACGCCTGAGTCTATTACTGACACTTTTGCTGTCTCTGTTTGTTGGCAGATTATAAACATATAATAGTGTATGGCATGCCTGTTTAAAGGGAGTAAGATTTTAATTTGATTATGTCAGCATTGTTCAAAACCAGTATTTTGACATTAATTCTGGTGACACATGCACTTCCTCTGCCTCCCCCAAGTTATTTTTGCAGCATTCAATATTTAGTGATAATGTGACTTTTACTTAATTACTTTCTTCTTTCATTATTTCATCCTTTCAGTCTTAAAGCAGAAAGTATGGTAGTAACTGAAATACAGACAATGGTCAAATATGCAGGAGACATCATGCCTCACCGCAAAAATACACACAATTTCAGCCTGCTCTCCCCCCAGATTAGAGAAACAAAAGAAAAGGAAGTTGACACTTTGAAATGTCTGTTGCATTAAGAATTAAAAACCTCACCGGCATTTTCAGTGGTAACCTTGGTGGCAAGTCTGAAATAAATTCTTCAAAACAAATAAGCTCATGAGCATGATGTAAGAGTGCTTCTGAAGCTTGGTTTTTATGCACCAAAATTATTCGAAAACCATGTCGATGTCTCAGGTCACTGAGTTCCAAAGCAAAGTTTACATCCGCTGGAGAAAAAGAGAAAAACGGAATGAACAAGTAAACACATGAAAAAGCTTTACAAAAAAAGTCAGATTAAACAAACAAAACCCCAGATCTCACTCGACAGGTTCTATTTATCATTGAAAATTTCCAATGACAAAGCACTAACAGCTACAGGGCTTCTCAGTGAACATAATTTAAATCAGCAGTTAGCATTCAGTCTCAGACAAGGGCTTCCTTTTAATAGCAATTTCTAGCAATTCATCAGCAAGACTGGTACTGTATACTTCTATAACAAACACTTGTTTAGCTTTAGGGAGAAATCCAAGGCAACACAGAGCGATTAAATAGTTGAGTGGCTTGCATATTTAACTGTATAGTATGCTGCTACAATAAAAAAAAAGAATCCAATACATTTTGCTCAAAGCATTCTGAAAGATTACCATAAGGAAGACACAATGAGTTTCACGTTATTAGCTTCCTCTGAAGCTGTCAAACTTTAGACATGATTTATACACATGCCTACTGAAACTCAACAAGACATCAGATTCCAATGCTGATTTAAATAAGCCAAGCTCTCATCTTACTGTCCCTACTTGTCCCTTGCTGCCACTGACATTATTAAGCATTCTTGAGCAATGCAGTTAAAGCTGATTCTAAACACAGAATGGAAAGCAGGATAGCATCATACGCAGAAGTACTATTAAAGAGAAGAACTGAGTTCTGCAATGTTGATGAGTACCACAAACGCTTACTTGACACAAGAACCACAGTGGCAGGTGCAGTGTGTGTATCAGCAAATCTCCTAAGACTCTGTCTGAGTTTGTCATCAGCAGCATTCTTTGCTGTAGCATTGATGTGTGCAACAGTCACCTGTGGAAATACAGATACGCTCTAAAGAAAAGCTTGAATATGAACTATGCTTGATTAAATTTAATTTTTAAAAAAAATTAACATAAACACAAGCTTTCACATGCACCTTTTATTTGACAAATTAATGCACACATTCATGAAATACAACATGTATGGATCTCAGACTATTCTAATGGCAATGAACTTCAACCCTAGTTGTTCAGCAATATCTTAGGGATGACTTCTGCTGTTCTGTGTTAAAGATCACAACTTACACACCTTACAAACATTCCATAAACCCTCAATTGAAATAGAGGGGTGGCAAACATAGCAAGTACTCACTATTGATTTGTTTTACCTCACATAAGCAGATAAACTGTCAACCTGTTATACCTGCAACTTGGGGGGTGGGAAAGTAATTTCTGACTTAGAAACCTGCACAAAAAGTTAAAAAATACTAAGAAACAAAAGGTATTGATGGAAAAATATGTAGCATTAAGGTGCCCCAACCAATACCATTAATTTGTATGTCCTCACTAATCAGCACAGTACTCACTAATAAAAGTAAAAAAGTTAATTTCACAGAATCATAGTTCTTTTAGGTTAATTATTTAGTCACAGATTTAAAGGATAACACTAGAAACTCCACCACCACTCATTACTGGATGAAATAAAAATCCCCTGTGAACACTAAAACTAAAGCTAAAACAGTCATCTACATATAATGGAATGCAGTTTCAGTTTTTAAAAGTATCCCACCAGGGAAGTTGAGCATTAGAGACCCCACCCATAAACTAATTATAAGCTCACGCACTAAACACAGAAGCTAACATAAAGCTTTAGCGAACAGAAATCACCATTAGCACACTCAAAGTACACACTCTCAAGCAAGAACACCAGGCAGATGCTGTTTTGATACCTGGCAGTTGTTTAGCTCCTGAATAACTTCTTTATTTTCTTTACTAATATCACACACACAGATGAACTCTGCCTCTCTGTGACCTTTAAAAAACTTTTCACGAATCCTCTGTACAACTGCAATAGCTGAACGGCCAGTGGGAACTGAGCAGTTTTCAATATCCCAGAAGACTCCAATAGGGGGCAAGTTTTCCAGAACTTGGCCTGTTGCTGCAACTTCCGGAGATCCTATACAAGTTTAACAACACAGCTCATTTTAATCTCCAAAAACATTAAACTTAGCATACTATAAACTTTGCACATGGGAAGCTTTATGTTTTAGAGAACATGCCCAGGAATGCAAGCTCAGTTTTATTTTCTTAAGGAATCTAAAAAACAAGTCAGGTGTTTTCGCAGTTTCTCTTTAAGGGAGAAACTTTATACCTCAAATCAGTCTTAAACAGAAATTTAGTTACTGTTAAGTTAGGACAAATACACAAGACAAATTCAGCTTTACTTTTAAACTCTCAAACAACCAAGTAATGTATTTAAAAAAAGTGATCAAGTGTTGAGGTGCCACGTGCCATGAAAATTGCCTGAAGTTGTCACACTAAGCTCAGTGGGTGCTATACGAGTAACAGAAGTGAAACATGAAAGCTCTTCAGGTTTACAGCGTGCATTAGATAAAGAATCTAAACAAAACTGAATGAGATTACCAGTATAGTGACAGTTATTATAGAAAATTAAGGCAGTATGGAACAAATGCAGAGGTACCCTACAATTGAGGAAAGTGAGGTTAAGAGTTTTTGTTATTACAGGCTAAGAAGTGCAAATAAAGTTTCTGGTGTTTGAGCAATCTGAATATATATTTAATTCCGAATTAACATTATATACCCATTCCATCCCCACAAACAAAGTGGAAAAAAAACCATGGGGAATGACACAGAATCCTCACAGTCAAAAGCAAACTAAGAATTAAAGCTAGCTAAGAATATAAAATTAAGCACAGTAGACAAATGTTGTATTTGTTTGGGTATATGTTGACTCATTCTTCAACAAGAGTCACTGGGATTACATTTTGTAAGGACACTTAATTTTAAGGTGCAACACCTCCAACCTAAAAATGGGTGTAGTCTTAAAATGATAGTAAAACTATCCAATTTCTTATTTTTCCATTACTTCTTTTTTAAGATTGCAATTTTCATACTAGCTATGATTTTGTAATTCAAGCAGTACTAATACTGTAGAAAGGCCATGTAATTATTTCACCCAATATTTTAATCTCAAGAACACTGAAAAAGCTGTATTCTTATTACAAACATTACACCTTTACTGCATAGGAAGTGACAATAAACACTACAGACTGAGAAAATGCTTTTCAAAGTATAGCTGAAGATAATTTCTTTATAGACCACCCGAAAAAAATAGCTTCCAAGTCCTTAGAATTTATTTTTCTAGTTCTTAAAATGACAAAAAGATATAATGGTAAAAAGGTAAAAAAATATAATGGTAAAAAATTAAAGCTCTATGCCAACAATACACTAAGTTAACTAGGTAATCAAAACAGGTAAATCCAAGTTAGGACTTTGCAAAACAGAAGCAAGGGGGGGTTGGGGTTTTTGTTTTGGTTTGGTTTTTTGGTTGTTTTTTAACTGTTTAGTCTTCTATAACTTTACAGAAGTTTCCAGAGAACAGTGAAATTTAAGAGAACTCTTCATGCGCAATAGTATTTAAGGAGGACATTCAAAGTGCAAGTTTCAAACAAATGTGGTTTACCATATTTCTGCGGTGATTTGCCAAGGCTGCTTGCCAGTAGCAAACTCTTCTCATTTCCTGTTCGTTTAGTTCCACAGCCATTACATATTGGGATAGGAACAGGTGCAGTCTGTGTACTTGGAGGAGGAATATTTGGCCAAATTTTAGCAGCATCAACTAGGCTGTTTCTGGTTGGCTGTTGGGACAATTTTTCAAAATACATGTTCATTTAGTATACAGTATTAACACATAGTATGCCAAGCTAGAAACACTCAGTTTCCCTTCTGCAACAAATCCAAGTGCAGATGTACTCTGCAAAGTTAAATAACAACAATATCACTGCACAAAGGAAGCTTCTACCCTAGTCTTTCCTCACATACTTAGCTCTAGATTTCCAAATGCAAGGAAAGATTCTATTAAACTCTGCACATCAAGACATGTTATCTTTAAGAAGTACTAATATGTCTTCCAAAAAAACCCCTGACCTAGCATGTGAAATCAGCACAATTAAGAGTACAAGGCTGAATCACCTCCCTCTCCCAAATAATAGTGGTCATTATTCCAAACATATTGAATTCACCATTTAGTTTACTGAAGTGAAAACATTTCACTTTTATACTGGAAACTCAAATTTGAAAGTTTAAGTAACACATCTTGCAAAGTTGAGTATATTATTTCACTTGAAATTCCTATTAAAATTCAAGCACAGTTTTAAACAGTTCTGAAGTGTACCAAATCAGTACTGAAGCATAAATTACAGATTTAGGAAGACTGAACTAAGACCTATCTAACCAAACCAAAATTAGAATATCCTTATAGCATCAGACATTTCACCTGACTTACAAACAAATCTTTATTTATCAGCTTCCCAAGGGTACATGTTAACTGTTGTTAACCTTTTCTCAGAGTCACTACTCTAGAACATTTTAATTGGAGCAGTCAAGAAGAGGTAACTGTCTTACAAATGCAGTCAAAATTCTGCTCGAGTACATTACAGATCCCCTGTAAGCTAAACATAATAGCCTCTTTTGTCTTCCTATCAAACTGAATGTTACCTCAGACAAGAGGTCATCTTTGATCATCATTTGGACTGTGCATCAGCAACTAGGAGGATGCAAGCTGCAACCCATGGAAGCTGGTGTTTTGCTCAAGTTAATATTAGTTAAGAGACCAACAATATACCACGCTTAACAGATGAGAAACGCGATGTGTACAAACCTTGCTCAAGCAGTCATTGCAGTAGTGAGAGCCCTTTAAACAAACTGAAGGTGCCATGTTTAGGTGCAAAGGGTTGGCGCACACACGTGATGTTAGCTCCGACTGTGCAATATGCTCATCCAAGTGGCCTGTAGCCCCACTTGTGAATTCAGAACAAGGAAAATAGCCAGATGACGGGCAGCTCTGAAGGGCAGGAAACTGATGCAGTTTGTGCACGTTACCATGACAGGACTGGAAATGGAGTTTTCCACAACAGGGCAGATGTTGACAAGAAGATACACTGTTTTCTACACACATGCCAGGGAACTCACTCGCAATGCCTGCCAAATTGCTTCTAGCTGGAGGGTTCTTCAGTGAAGATGCAGACTGATAAGCAAATCCCGACCCTACTTGACAAGTAATCGTCCCAGTGCTTTGTGAGTCTAATATTGTGCCAGGGTGAATCAAGTTACCACCACCACCACCACAATGCATTTGTGGAGTACAAGAAGAGTCAGAGCCATGAGCACAGCAGCTTACTTTTGGGCCCGGTGAAAGCTGTATTTGCTGTTGCTGAAGAGGATGAACATCAGGAAGCGGTACTGCTGGAAAGAGTTTAGAGCCAGCATTGTGAGGAGATGAAGCATCCTTCAGTTCTACAGCAGCTTTCTTGTTCTCCATGTAATCTTTCTGGAAAATGAAAGTTCAGTTACATTCAGATACATAAACCAGCAATTTTATAGCATAAATAAGCATATTTTTAGACTGTTACGATTTTGACGATAATGGAAGTTTTGAAAAGCATTATCTTTATGATTACTATTACCTCATTGTCTGAACATGTAAAATTTTAAAAGAAACATGCCAGTTGTGTATGTCAGCCTGAGGTATATTGGTATCAGTGGATTTTGGAAGCAACAAAAAAAAAGCTATAAACCAAATAGCAATAGGCCTATAAAAAAGAATCTGAAAAGCAGAAAACTGTTAGGCTAAGGCTGAGAGATACTTTGCAACTGCAAAGCAAAAAAAGTTTTTTTCTTTTAAGAGCAAACATAGATGGATGCAATATAAAGTGAAAAAACTACAGTTTGGAGGTACATAAGGAATCATCTTTTACTTTGAATAAAGAGTTTAAAATTGTATTAAAGTTTTTGAAGTAATGCGTTACAAGACTAAGACTTTAAAAAAACTGAAATTATATTAAACAGGTAAACTAACAGAAGACAGAGAAGACTAAATTTTCACAACAGAGTGCCTTTTCCTACTCTGATTTAAGATATCAAGACATATAGACATGAAGGCATAGACAGAAGTATTTTTTTTAAATGGTAGCAGTGAAAACTAAGCAAGGTTATGAGAAGCACCAGAACAGTCAAGGTCAGTAGAGCAAACCTGTGTACAACTCGCTGCTCCAGAGCTTTAGCCCAGTACTTTGGAACAACTTTTACTTCCCAAATTGAATTTGATGCATTTCCTACTGCACAGTAATGCATAATTGATTACCCAAGTTCAAAACCATTCATCTCTACCTGATACCATGTATTACTAATTGATGATACACTCTACCAAAAATCTTCGTGGAACTGGCTTATATGTTAAATTTCAGAATTTATGTCAGCTTTCTTCCTAACCCCTGACGCATGAGAATAGCAACACAACAAGACATATGCTTATCTGTTCCCCTCATATCTTTTACTGAAAGTCAGATTGAACATGCACAAACGAGTATTACTTAACAGCTAAAGCTTGCTTGCTCAAGCAAGTCATTGTGTTGTACTATTCCTTCTATTCCTCAGCAATTCGCATCTTAAATGTATAGAATCATATACAGTCAGAGAACAGGAATATTTCAAGAAATGGAAACAAGGAAAACCTAAATATTCATGAAGAACAGTACCCACAATTGCTATAACTTCTATATAATAATTCATAAAATTCTAAATTTGCCTCCAAACTAAACTGATTAAAATCTGGAACTGTGAAGACTACTTCCCTACTCCATCCTTCAGCAGTAACTTCATAGAGCTTTCAAGAAGCTGCCTTACACACTTTTAAAGCAGTCAGTTGTATTATTCCAAACAGAGCTGTAGAGAGTAAAGCCTGTCAAGCAAAGCAACTTGCCTGCTTTCACCAGAACTGATGAGAGTACTGTGAACACAACTAAAGACCTTAAATTCCCACACAGATTTCATACTTACTATGATAACTGCTATCTCCTCTTTCTCCCCTCCCCACTTGCTCCCTTTAGTCAGCAATAATGCTGCAGTTAGTTATACTGGTCTGTACCAGAACATCAAGTACTCTTTTAGTAAAGCAACAAATTACCGTTTTCGCACTGCAAGGCAAAGACTTTTCAGCAGCAGAAAAGCAATTAGAAAGTTTCCAGAGCCATGGTTTAGCATCATTCTCTTGTCGCTGAAGCCATCCAAATGACCTATCGCAGAGGTTCTCTGTCCTGTTTCCTTCCATCATACAGCCAAGCAAAAAGGCTCAACATTCTTTCATCCCCCCTTCCTTTCATTCTTCCCACCTGCCAAAGACAAAAAACCACATGCTTTAAACAACTTTTAAGGTAATACAGAGAAAAGCCATGGTGGTCATATGAATTCCACTGACGCTAGATCACTGAACCTGCATTATTTATGTTGAATTTAACTATACATATGGAACATGGCCTTGACTATTCCTGTTTAGTACAAGAATATTCCTCATGATCTGCAGCACAGGTAGGGTAGTCTGAGGAAAACACTAAGGCACTAGCTGCAAAGTCCCAGAAATGCGTTACTGCTGACATGAAATAATTCCCTGAAACTTTCAGTGCATTCTCCTGGAAAAAGAAGCCTGGAGGTAGGTTTTCAAGAACATCTCATCAGTAAATACAAAATAGGTGCAGCCGAGCTCAGCTGAAAGAATTGAACTACATATTCATTGTTTTTCCGCAGGCTAACAAAACTATATATACTGTATCAAGGACACAGTATTTAGTATTAAACAGAGCTTTAAATTATTAAAATTATTTACAAATAGTTCTACTAATTCTCATGCTGCCCCACTGTAGACCACATCAATTTAGCTTTACAGAACCACAACAAAGTAAAGCAATTTGTTTAAGGCCCAGCCACACTGTACCAGAAAAAATTAGGATTAGCAAAGAAGTCTTCTTACCCTCCAACAACGTACTGCCTTCATTAGGCTACACTCCTTCCGTTTTCTTGCATTTAATGTTAAATGCAATAACCACAGAATACATTCCATAGCATTACATTTGCCCTAGTGTTACTTTTAACCACAAACTAAGTTCGGCTTTTTTTAAACCAGAAATGTTTATTTGCACGAACCCCAAAATTAATAAAACATTAAGTTAATCAAGTTCTATAACACTAGAATATGTAACTTTTTAAAATGTCTGGTAGCACCAATCGTTTAGGAATCAAAACGGTAAGTGAAACAAATTAAAAGCTGTATTAACCACGTATATCCGCGCTTTGCCCTCTGCGGCTCACAGCTCCCCGGGTGCTTCCAGCTCGGCCTGGCCCGCAGCCCGGGGGCGACGGCGAGGCTCGACCCCCCACCCCAGGCAAACAGCCCCAGCGCGCCCCAAGGCGCTCTTGCCTGCTGGGGGGAAGGGACTGGCTCCCCCCCCCCCCCCCGCCCCCCCCCTGAGCTGCCCGCAGCGCCGCCGCCCCTCACATGCCGCCGCGGCCCCTCACACCCCTTTGTTGTCCTCCCTCCTCCCTCTCCGCTCCCTCTGCCGTCAAGCGACGCCGAGCGCCGGAAAGCACCCACTGCCGCAAAGGAGACTGTCGTAACGCACCCTTCTTCTTCTTCTTCCTCTTCCTCCTCCTCTTCTTCTTCTTCTTCTTCTTCCTCCTCCTCCTCCTCCTCCTCTTCTTCTTATTCTTCTTCTTCTTCCTCCTCCTCTTCTTCTTCTTCTTCTTCCTCTTCTTCCTCCTCCTCTTCTTCTTCTTCTTCTTCCTCTTCCTCCTCCTCCTCCTCCTCTTCTTCTTCCTTTTCCTCCTCCTCCTCTTCTAATTCTTCCTCCTCCCCCTCCTCCTCTTCTTCTTCTTCCTCCTCCTCCTCCTCCTCTTCTTCTTCCTCTTCCTCCTCCTCTTCTTCTTCCTCTTCCTCCTCCTCTTCTTC